AAGCAGAATTACATCGAGTTATTTAAAGCAGCGATGCCTTGATGACTCAGCTCTTTCTCTTTCACTTTGCTTTAACTTGCTACATAACTAATGATCATATTAACCCTTATAAGATGAAACCTTTAGGTTACTGAAAGTACAAAAAGTAAGCATAAAATGGAACAAGCAAAATGCGGGGTGATTAAATGTCGTAGGCAGACGTATTGAAACCTACCTTGAAAATCTAGCCAAACTGTAGGTGAAATCTAGTTGGCAAACGTCAATTCGTTACATGTTGGTTTCCACGGCCTAATTTTCCAGAACCAAGGGATTACTAAGGCTATCACCACTGTCGTTGACTTTCTGATATTATCGAGTGGTTGCTCCTGTTTCAAATAGTTTCTTGCACTAATAATAGCGTTGATGAAATTTCACTTTCCGGAATGTGCCTCAACATGCCACATAATTAATAATCATATTACCCTTACAAGAAGAAACCTTTAGCTTACTGAAAGTGCAAAAAATAAGTATAAAATGTGTGAACTTTATCTCTTAATTATTCTTTTCTTTAATGTTCTACAAGGTTATTTGTGCTACCAGCATAATGTGTAGTCACTCGAGCAGACAGCGAATCTCCGGAATGTGCCTCAACTTGCCACATAATTAATGATCATATTATCCCTAAAAAGGTGAAACCTTTAGCTTACTGGAAGTGCAAAAAATAAGCATAAAATGTGTCAGCTATATCTCTTGATTATTCTTTTCTTTAATGTTCTACAAGGTTATTTGTGCTACCAGCATAATGTGTAGTCACTCGAGCAGACAGCGAGCTTGTTTGTTGGGCCATTCACAAACTACTCAATCCATGTAATTTCTATGTACTGCGCAGGAAAGCTGCTCCTTTTGCTCCCAAAAACTTTGCTCTACATACATTTTGAAGGCATGTCCCCTTTCCGAGTGTGAAAAATGGCTGGAAGTAGGGGGATCGAGGGACATTGACCTATTTACATTGAAAGTCATCATTACTAAGTATTTTCAAAGAAAGGAAAGCAAAGACCTTCTGCGAATTGACAAGTCCAAGAACTCAAAGATAGACCTGGAAACTTGAATTTAATGACCCTATATCGGTTGAATGAATCGTATATTCATTTCTTTAATCAACCAGGTAATTTCGTTTTCACCTGCTCGAAGCTTTCTACTGGTTTTACATAGTGGCAACAAACGAACTCTATGCGTGAACGGCATCAAGCGAAATGTCGAGTGGAAACGTTTCTTAATTTGTATCTACATAGAAAGTCAACATCATTCACAATCGCAAGTCGTCCTTGTTGAGGATAATATGAGTCCAATTCCACACAGTTTTATCGCCATACAAATAGTGCAAGTAGTCGTGACAAGCCAGAACGAAACCGTAAATAAAACGAGAAACAGAAGCAGATCACTTCAATCTAAGAACCAGCTTTGCATTCTTTACAACAACAATTCGCTGCAACCTGTTTACAGAACTACTCCTGAGCTACTCCATCTCTCAGTTGATACTTTTTGATGCTTTTCCCTTTCGAAACAAGGAGCAGAATTACCTCGAGTTAGTTAAAGCGACGATGACTTGATGACTCAGCTCTTTTACTTTCCGGAATGTGCCCTAACTTGCCACATAATTAATGATCATATGATCTTCTACAAGATGAAACCTTTAGCTTACTGAAAGTACAAAAAGTAAGCATAAAATGGAATGAGCGAAATGCGGGGTGATTAAATGTCGCAGGCAGACGTTGTATTCAAACCTGCCTTCAAAATCTAGCCAAACTGTAGGTGTAATCTTCTCGTTAAACGCTTAATTGAGACTAACAAAAGAATCAGCGATCATTTCAGCTAGACTTTGCTCCAATATTGTTGCATATTGGCAGCAGAGAGTAGACGTTTCAACGTAACTGTTATTTTGGTTTAATTGGCGTTGGTACATTAAAATCCTTAAAACGCTCTGGGTCAGAGCACCGACAGTATCGGATCTACCAGATTGTAGCTAAGACTTCAATTAAGAAAGCAGTTATTTTTATGTGTCAGCTTAATCTTTTAATTATTCTTTTCTTTAATGTTCTACAAGGTTATTTTTGTTATTAGCATAATGTGTAGTCACTCGGGCAGACAGCGAGCTTGTTTGCTGGGCCATTTACAAACTACTCAATCCATGTAATTTCTATGTACTGCGCAGGAAAGCTGCTCCTTTTGCTTCCAAAAACTTTGCTCTACATAGAATCAAGCCAAAACTACGCTACATTTTGAAGGCATGTCCCCTTTTTGAGTGTGAAAAATGGCTGTAAGTAGAGAGATCGAGGGACGTTGACCTATTTGCATTAAAAGTCGTCATTACTAAGTATTTTCAAAGAAAGGAAAGCAAAGACCTTCTGCGAATTGACAAGTCCAAGAACTCAAAGATAGGCCTCGAAACCTGAAGTTCATGACACTATATCGGTTGAATGAATCGTATATTCATTTCTGTAATCAACCGTGTAATTTCGTTTTCGCCTGCTTCGCTTTCTACTGGTTTTGCACTTAGTGGCAACAAACGGACTCTATGCACGACGGCATCAAGCGAAATGTCGAGCGGAAACGTTTCTTAATTTGTATCTACATAGAAATTCAACATTATTTACAATCGCAAGTCGTCCTCGTATTTTGAGGATAATATGAGACCAATTCCGCACAGTTCTATCGCCATACAATTATTTCAAGTAGTTGACACAAGCCAGAACGAAACTAATCGAAACCGAGAAACAGAAGCAAATCACTTCAATCTAAGGACCAGCTTTGCATTCTTTACAACAACAATTCGCTGCAAACTGTGTACAGAAATACTCCTGAGCTCTTTCATCTCTCAGTTGATAATTTTTGATGCTTTTCCCTTTCGAAACAATGAGCAGAATTACCTCGAATTAACTAAAGCGAACATGCCTTGACGACCCAGCTCTTTTACTTTCTGGAATGTGCCCTAACTTGCCGCATAATTAATTATCATATTAACCCTTACAAGATGAAACCTCTAGCGTACTGAAAGTGCAAAAAATAAGCATAAAATGGAACGAGCGAAATACGGGGTGATTAAATATCGTAGGCAGACGTTGTATTCAAACCTGCCTTCAAAATCTAGCCAAACTGCGGGTGTAATGTAGTTGGCAAACGTTTAATCGAGACAAACAAAAGAATCACTGATCAGCTCGCGGATAAAGATGGTTCCAATTCGTTACACGTTGATTTCGACGGCCAAATTTACCAGAACCAAGGGAGTACTAAGGCTGTCACCACTATCGTGGACTTCCTGATATTATCGAGTAGTTTCTCCTGTTTGAAATAGTTTCTTGCACTAATAATAGCGATGCATTTGTCATGTTCATGATCACGTCATGTTCTGACCACGTGCTCAGTGAAGAAATTACCCATGATTATTTCATTTCCGTTGTAAAGGAAACGTCTTTAAATCTTATTGCCACATCATTGAAGCTGGTCTGAATTGTGGAAATAAAATAACAGCATAATCTTTAGTCTAACAGCACTCAGACCCTCATTTTCAGGGCTGCAGGACGCGCCTTTTCCACCCGCGGGAACATTTGAGACGAGTGAATCGGGAAGAGGTTTGCCGGGGACTTAGCACTAATAATGAGGTATTGCCATACCATAGACCTAGTGTACCGTTGTACTTATGTCCCCTTATTCTCTGGCTCGTGTTGTTCAAGGCCTCTCATTTTCCCGCGTGCGAAGAGACCTGGGACCTACTCTTACACTGCGCAATCTTGATAACTCATGATCTGATTTTTTCTACAACTCTCTGCTAAAATTCTGTGCTGTCAGCGGCTTGATATGTGGGCTCACGCATCTTTCCTTTTTTTCGTAACAAAAGAGAAGGAAAATCGAGATAAGATGGTATTTACTAAATCTAAGTGTTTATGTATATATATGTATTTCTAAATAAAAAATAATAGAAGAAAACAAGCCTACCAGTAGAAATATCAAAGCTTCCTTCTTATCACACCACACACTACACCGCTTTTCTTTCAAGAAAACTGCATCAATACAAAAGACCACAAAACACTAAAAATGCAATTTTTTCTTATCGGCCGCAGAGTCTTGCTCTCGTAACAGCTTAGCGAACCGTAAAAATTGTAAGAAGTTAGGCCTTCAAAATAGGTGTTACACTATTAAACTTTAACACAAAGGCGTTTCCTGTAAAATGTGAAAACCAAAGTTGCATAGAGAAAGATGTTTTTCGGCTCGTCACGAGCGTAGGACAAAGAAAATACTCGGAGTGCCCATGGGGAATCGAGCGTCAGACCTTCGGATTCCGCGCTCCGAAAGTTGAATAGTCATTGACATCCGTATTAATGAGATAAAAAACAATTTCGCATTCCAACTTACTTACCATAGTAATAGGAGAAATGGCCGTGGTGTATAGATGAAAGAAAACTCAATAATAAAGTTGGCAGATTGTGACCTTTAGAAAAGGGAAATCTCTGGAATTTTTCCCTTCCCTTTCTTACCCTTTCATTTTTCCCTCGTCACGCTGTCCTTCCTTCCATCCTTATTTTATTTCCATTTTTTGAGGTTATTTCCTCTTTCGCCACGAAAAACTGATTCTTGATCAAACTGTAGCTGCGGGCAAAGGAAATTTTCTCAACGAGCTCAGCGGAAATAAAATCCCTAGAATCACTCGCGATGACATTCTCCCAGAAGCAAACCGCGTTTCTATGGCATCAAGTGAAGCAAATGAAACTGCAGGGGGTGGGTGTAAGGAAATCTTAATTCTACACATCTATAAGGTTTTTACATATATCATATTTCTCTGTCCAAAGACAGCTCTCAAAATGACTATTCGTATTTCTCATAACTGCATTATGTTTGTTTCTTGTCTGAAAATGTGAGCCTTTGTGCGTATTCACCAACAAAGATATCTTCCCCCTCCCCTGTCAAATTTACTGCAAAGCGACACGTCAGCTACGTAACAATAGCGAGCAGGCGCAGTTCGGTGGAGATGCTTCTTCAAAGATGGCGGAAAAGTTGGTAGCGCTAACTTTTTTACTACTTTTTGTAAGTTTTCAACCGGTGATTTCCGAAGAAGCTGTAGAGCAAGGAGGTAAGTACTGAGGAGAATTTTTAATTTAGCAAAAATCTTATAAAAATATTTTTGCCCCGGAGAAAACTTACTTTTACGAGATCAGACACGCGCACGGAAAAAGACACGAGCACCAGCGAGCAAACCGCAAAAGATTGAAATGAAAACTAAAATGCCTAGTGTTGAGTATTTCAGGAATTGTTTTGTATTCTGGTGTGCGAGATCAGAGTTCTGTTTGGGAAAATTGATAATCGCGCGGAAACACTTGGGTTTTGGTTTGAATTGATACATTCCCGGGAAATTTCCGGGAAAATGATCGATTGTTCGCTGGCGTGGAGGTATTTTCGTTATTATTTATACCTTTCCATTGAAAATTCATTACAGATTTTACTGCGCTTGGAAATGTCATCAGTTTGCACACATGGAAAATATTCGCAAACATTTCTCAGTGTTTAAATTAATTTTTTTTCAGCGAAACTCGAGTGCTACCCAACTAGAGTGAAGTATTGAATGAAACTCTTTATTTGCAATTTGTGGATTTTTCAGCGATGCTCCTTCGTCGTCAGGCTCATATGGTTAAAATTTTTCCTAAGTTAAAGTCCACCTACCTACCATAGACAGAACTGTGGCCAATGTAGAGAGATGGATCTTAGCGTGGGGAAAAAATTTTGTTTCAGAAGAGCATTACAATGAAGAAGCATTACTGTGCTAGTTTAAATGGTGAATTTTTTCTTCTGGACTCATACCCACAGTTTATGCACATAGCAAGATTGGACTGGTTTAATTTTGGGCAGAGTAATTTTTTGAATCGTCATCATTATGCTGTGGTCTTATCTTGTTTTTTATTGTTGTTGTTGTGTAGCAATTAACACAGAAGACAATCCAAATTTCAACGATTTGAGTCCGGCCTTTGAGCCGGGCTCCTACGTGGAGAATATTGTAGAGAACTCTCTTTCCACAAGAGGTAAGGCCCTAGAGCTGTGAAATTTTTTTTTTTATTAAATAGTGGCTGTTTGCATGGAGATATATGGTGGCAATCACTGACAAAGAAGCTGTTCCACCTCCTACCATATGAGTGAATTTGTGTTCGGCTGTGCACCATAAAAAGTTAATTTTTTTCTTTCAGGTCTCACAGAGAAAAGTATCCGTGCGGCTCAATACCATAAGCACACAGAAGAACCAGTAGCTGATGAAGAGAGCAGAGATATTCCTGATGAGCAGGTGTGTGTTATTCCTTTCATCCAGCTTAACCTTTTTACTCCTAAGAGTGATCAAAGAAAAATTTCTCCTGACAGTATCAATACATTTTCAAGCAAAGGGGTTATAAGAAGAGAACAAATATCAATTAAGGGATATTGTTTGATTTAGCACCAAATTCTCAACCAAAACTTATAAGAAATCTACAACAGACAGTGCAGAGATTTTATATTTTGATATTGAGAGCAAAAGGATTAACTTTGTTTGAGTGATTGATATCTCAGGGCTGTGTTCCAGCTGCACCTGGTAGTCCCTGGCACTTTTTCCTGCTCTTGGACAACTAAGGAATCATATTTTTTTCATTAAGAGCGTATACTGGGCATGCTGGATTTCACAATTTCAGAGTAATGGGCTCCCTTTGTTTTTTCTTTGAGCACAGCCTTGTATATGTGTAAGAAAAATAGGGCCTTATCTAAAACCCAGTAATTCAGAGCTTGTCTAGGTCACTGTAGCATCAAGCATTAATTAATAATTTTACTCACACCATGATGCTAGCTTGTAGCAGGTTAACCCACCCTCCCCCTTCCCCTTCCCCTTCCCACCATTTCATATGGTTTCTTATTTATAATACTGGTAAGAGTGATGCACTGTAAGAGTAAATTGTCTTTCTCTTGGAAAAAAAAAGCACAATGACTTGGCTTGTCATGAACTCCAGCCTCTTAAATCAGTGTCTCTCCATTAGTCCAATGTCTCTCCTGCAATCTGTTTGCTGGTAGCATCACATTGCGAGAAGAAGGTTTATCAATTCTGGGAATTATTAGGTCATAGGGTAATAATGGACAGAGGTTATGTATGCTGGTTAGAACACAGACTGATAAGCCATTAGATAAGAAGTACATATATAAAAAAGCCAAAAGGCAAGCTTCTGTTTTTTACCACAGGCCCCAACTGAAGCTCCTGAGGAGAGCAAGGGTAGCCCAGGATTTTTTTCACAAATTTATTCAGAACTGACTCATTTTTACAATGACGATGACAATGATGATGGTGATTCTGAGACTCCATCTGATGAAGAGGAGGCCGAGGAGGGCGAATTAGAAGATGGTGAACAAGAAGAAGAAAATGAAAAAACAATCAATAATGGTGATGATGAAACAACATCAGGAGAGAATTCCAAAAATGGTGAATCAGTAGACAATAAAGAAGAACAGAAAGAGGAGGAGCAAATTGATATTGCTAATGAAACACCATACGGAGAAGAGGAAGCCATAGATGGCAAATCAGCAGACAGTGGAAAAGACCAGAAAGGGGAAGAAAAAATAGATAATGCTGATATCGAAGCACCATCAAAGGAAGAGGAGGCCTTAGATGGTGAACCAGGAAAAAATATAAATGAATCGAAAAATGAAGAAAAAGCATGTAATGCTAATGTTGAAACACTGTCTAGGGAGGAGGCCCTAGGTAGTGAATCAGAAAAAAATATAAAAGAAGTAAAAAATGAACAAAAAAATGAGACTGCTGTTGGTGAGGCAGTTGATGAGGAGAATGTTAAGAGTGAGTCTGAATTTAGATCGGAGTCAGACAACTCTGAAGATACCATGGAAAAAACTGTAGAGAAGGAGACTGATTTTGAAGAGAGCAAAGAGAAGATTAAGTCTGAATCTGAACTGGAGATTGACCATACTGAGAATGTCATCTCTAAACCCTCAAGTGAGGAGGCCATGGAAGAGGATATTGATAGCAAGAAGGAGAATCAACAGGATTTATTGAACAAACAGTTTGTGTTTGATGAAGATCTATCTTTGGAATCAGCTGATGTAATGTCTGAAAGTGCAAAACCTGAAATTCCTGTAGAAACAAAAGGACTGGAAACTGATAACACTGAGGAAAGTGGCAAGGAACAAGAACATACACAGCAAGAGCCAGAGGATGGAGGCCCAGCATTTGAGAAGAATGACGAGAAGAGTGAAGGAATGGAAATAAAAAATGGGTGGTTCAAACTTTCCGATGAGGAGTTGGAGCACTTGCGAGTTAAGAGAAAGGAAGTTAATGAAGAAGACAATACTGACTCTAGGAAGGCAGAGGAACTCATTGAGGAGCAGAAGAGAGAGTCATTGTTGGAAAAGGAAAGGAGAATTGCTGAAGAGCAAGAAAAGAGGAAGGAGGATGAGGAAAAGATCATTAAATCTGAGTCACTAAAAGAATCAGCTGATTCTCCAAAAGAAGAGGAAGATCAAATACGAGAAGAGTTTGCCAGGAAGAGAAGACTTGAGTCTTTGAAAGAGCAATTCAAGCAGGTAGAAGCAAATGAGAAGAAGGAAGATGAGAGGCAAATAAAGAAGAAAGTAAAAGAATCAGCAGATTCTCCAAAGGAAGAGAAAGATCAAAAACAAGAGGAGTTTGCCAGGAAGATAAGACATGTTTCTTTAAAAGAGCAACACAAGCAGGTGGAAGCCAATGAGAAGAAGGATGACAAGAGGAAAATGAAGGAGAAAGCTGAAGAATCAGCAGATTCTCCAAAGGAAGAAGAAGATCAAAGACAAGAAGAGTTTGCCAGGAAGATAAGACATGTTTCTTTAAAAGAGCAACACAAGCAGGTGGAAGCCAATGAGAAGAAGGATGACAAGAGGCAAATGAAGAAGAAAGTTGAAAAGGAAAGACAAAACTCTATAAAGAGAGAAAATGGAATCAAAGTAAAAGATAACGGTGCAAAGAAGGAGGTTCCTCACTATGAAAGGGTTCATAGAAAGCAAAAACCACAGAAAGATGAGGCTGAACCTTCTCAGGAAAATGGAAACCAAAGAAAAAAGCACGATGAGGAAGAAGAGCATCGAAAACAAAAGGGTGCATTTGCCAAAAATGTAGCTGAAGAAGCTGCTCTGAAGAAAAAACTGGAACAATTAAGTGAGGAAAGGAAAAAGTATGAGAAACTGGCAGCGGAGTATTCTCGCAGCAAGCAGCAAAGACAAGCCCAACAACCACGGGGAAAACCTTTGGCTAGTCAAGCCCCAAAACCTAAGTCCAGAACATCTGCAACTGTATCAAGTGGTCAAGGTTGGTGTAAATATTTACAATGTTTGTAGATATCCATTTTTAATTAGTAAACATGACTGCAGCAAAATTTAATCCTTAGGACCCTAAGAGTAATTAGTATTTAATTTCTCCTCGCAGTATCTCACCCAAATCACACGCCAAGGTCATGAGAATAAAGGAAATGATCATCAACTTAAAAAAAACTCTTAAACAAATTTTCCTCGTCAGTGCCATTGGAAATGCAAAGAGAGTAGCATGGGGAAGATGCAAATTGATCTTAGAGTGTAGAGGGTTACATGACATTTACCCCTTTCCTGATTTTTAATACTCAAGAGGGGGGATGGTTGGGCTGAGGAGGGGTAATGTAATGATGTAATGAAATCCAAGGAATCGTGGGCTTCTACTTCTCACAAAAGTTTTGTCCTACAAAATAACTCTGATTTTTTCCTGCAGGAAAATCAGGAGTGAATACACAGGATAGAAGACCTCAGAGCACTCGGCAAACTCAAAAAATTCAAAGAACTCAGGTACCCCCTACAAGAGCTACAATCAGAGATGGGGAAATTGGGGCTTCACTGTCCACTGATGCAGCCTATGTTACCACTAAAAGTGTGACTGCCAGCACTATGGGTGTGTCTGGTACAGAAACAGGTACCACAGGGCATGGGAAGGGTACAGTTGCACCAGGAACATCCACTGGGGCTAATTCTTCCTTGCTTCCTACTGCCTCCCTAGTGGAGGCAGTAGAAGAATCAACTCCAGTTGAGCCTGTCCAGAGATCAGTGACAGATGATGGAGTGCCTGGTCACACTGATACCAAAGTGGAGTCTCATCCCACTGTAGAGACAACAGGAACAACTTCCAAAGCAACAAACCATGAGAGTGAGCATTCAAGCTCTGTGCATCTGGTTCAACTTGAAGAACAAATCCCTAAAAACGATGTCCATTGTGCTGATGGTGAGAACATTAAGTTATTATTTCTTGTATTTCACAGCCTGGGTTTAATTAGGGGAAAATATTCACTTAATAAAAAATTCCCTTTTGATCAAACATGTTTGCTTAAATTAATATCACAGTGAATGATTTTGCTTTTAGGCTTTTGTCGTGCAAAACCTGAGGTAATTTCACTGGCCTCTCGTTTCCAACAAGTGGAAAAGAAATCAACTGTTGGTTTGGTGGAACCTCCATTGAAAGACAATGCTTCTCAAGCTAAAGATGCACCCAGTGGATTTGCCAACTTTATGAAAGGTTTCCGCAATTTTCATGAGGTGTCATTGCAGTTCATCCTCCAGTATTGGCCCTCTGTGAAAAATGCAACCAAAAACTTGCTGTCACGTGTGGGCTTAGACCAGGTGAGCACTCAATCAAACACTTAGGTCAGGAGAATAAAGGAAGTGATCACCATCGAAAGAAGATGTTGATTGTTAAACAAATTCTCTTTGGCAGCACCTTGGGAAATGTATGAAGAACAGTATAGAGAATATGCATACTGATGTTAGGATGTAAAAGGTTAAATTCCCTGATTGTGACCTTTTGGAATTTCCAGGCATTTGAGCAGCTTTGTAAGGATCTCGCAGATGTTCACCCTGCTGTCCTGTTGTCAACAGTTGTGTTTGGTACATTGGGTATCCTGTACTTTTTCTGGTCTATTACTGTAAGTACTCTTGCTTGGTACATGAATCCTTACTCTGACTGCAGTTGTTATTCTCCTAAGATTGTGCTCTCGCAGCAGAAGAAATCTCTTCAACTACAATCAACCCTTTACCCCTAAGAGTAACTGGCATCAGGCTTCTCCTTACAATAGCACTCAGGAATCATACATTCACCCTTTAACTCCCATGAGTGACCAAGACAGAATTTCTCCTTACAATATCAATACAACATCATCCAGATAAGCAATGAGAATAAAGAAAAATATCAATTTGGGGATAATTAGTTGATCCAATACTAAATTCTCTGAACTAACATTGTAAGAATTGTATGGTTGAAAGAAAGGAGAATTAAAAATTTGATCTGGGAGTTAAAGGGTTAAGGTGACAAGAATTAAGAAAATGATCAGAAGTACAATAAGTTTTTGTTTGCCAAACAACTTTTCCTTCTCCCTAGCACATAAGGAAATATATAGAGAATAGTGTGGAAATTATATGCGTATTGATGTTAGCAAGCAAAAGGGTAAAAAAATCACATGTGTATTCCAGTTTACCTTCTGGCATTGAAAGAATACTTCTTGTGGTGGTTGACACATCCATGATTTCCTGTAAATTTACTGAGGTAATACATTTTTCTTTATTTCCACTGGCAGTTTGGAAGGATGCGAAATGGTGCCCATGGACCTAATCCTCGTGGTAAGTGATTGAAAACTAACTTCTTATAACAATACCACAATATCTATTCAAGGTATCTGTAATGAGAATTCATAGCAAAGTGAGATGTTGAATTAAAATTATTGATGTGGAAGAGAAATCTTGCAGGAAGAGATCATTTTGACCAACAATCCTCATTTCAAAGGATTTATTTTTATCTGTTTTTGTTCACTATATATAATAAATTTTGGATTTTCCCCTGGTGCTGGTTGGTTACATTGACTTGTTATTTCTTGAAACACTCACAAACTCAGTGCAAAGTATTGTAATGAAAATATGTGGGAGGTGTTTCTGCTTAAGAAAATTATTGGTAGTAACGATCCTGATAACTTTTCGGAATGATTTCACTAATTTAATTTCTTTAGATGTGCTGAAAAGTCATGAAGCGAGAGTACGCTTCTTGGAAGAGGAGGTTGAGTCATTGAAGGCAGAAAGACTTAAGATGGAAATGGACCGAAATGATTACCATAAAGAGGTACTGTAATATACAAATAAAATCTTTAAGGGGGCTGCCATTTTATGTGATGTGGATTCGTACAACTCCAAGCTGCAACTGCTTTCATTTGGTTACCATGATGAGAAGAATTGAAATGTCACATGATGATTCCAAAACAAGATGGTCGATGCTAATTTTTTTTTTACCTTTATTAATGCCTTGTCTCTTTTTAGAAACTCATTGCAGAAGAAGAATCGCGCAACTTGCGTGCAAATACAGAAATCCTTACAAGAGCAGTGGAGAAATTGCAGGTTAGTTATCAGAGAAGAAGTTTTGGACTTGATCTTATTTCCTCTTTAGTCCTTGTCAAAGTACATTGATTGGAGCTTGGTGCACTGGACTGGAAATGTAATCATGGGATAGAATGACTTCCTGTCAAGGGGGGAGCACTGCTAGTCAGCTCACGCAACCAGGACAGGAATAAGTTCAATTTCAATGGGCCTTAGTGTTCATAAGCTTAACTAATCTTGCACCACTCTCTTTATCATAGAAATGAAGCTGTTTATTTTTTGCTGAGAGATATGAACTGACAAATTTTTGCTATGATGTAATGTTTATAAGTTTCTTTTTCATGCTGTTTGTTTGTTTATTGTATGTGTTGATTATTGCAGAAAGAAAGGCAGGAGACGCAATTGCAAATCAAAAGCACGCAGGAAAATTTGAAAGGACTTGAAACTGTTCTCAAGAAGAAAGATGATGAAATTGCCAGCCATGAAAATGCGGTGAGAGCTCAGCTCTGTACAAGTATTTAACCCTTCAGCTCTCAAGATCTGACTGCTGATTCTCCCCTCTAGCTGCTATATATTTCCTTAAAAATCATTTACAAGAATTTGGTGTTCAATCAAGATAACTTCTAGTTGATAAGTTTGCGCTTAGCCAATGAAAAGTAAGGAAAAATTATATCACATGATAGGAAATAATATTAAATATACTACTGGGGTACCTCTTTTACATTATTTAGTTTTTTGTTCAGTTATATAATCAATTAGAATGTTGACATATATTATTTTTATTTTTACAGATTGCAAACTTGAATTTTAAGATTGGAACACTGGATGATGAAATTGTCAAGGTGATAGATTCAGTGTAAAAGTTCATGGAGAGGCCCTCTTTTAAATTTCATATTGTATTTAACAGTCATCAAGTATTGTAAGGAGTTATGTAAAATGTATTTGTTTGTTTGTTTTTAGTTAAATGATCATTGCGATAGAATGCAGATGGAGAAGGAGGCACACAAAGAACATATTGGAAAACTGAATGAGAAGATTGAACATGCTAACATTGAGAATCAGAAGGTGTGTGGTGGTGATCGTCTTGGTTTATGATCAAATTTCGCTGTTTATTTTTTTTTCTCTTTTTTGTTTTGGTTTTTTTTTTTTTTTTTTGCAACTCTGAAATTATTAGTCATAAAGGGCTAGGAAATTCTTATGTGTTTTTCTGACTATTTCTTTCATCTTATAAAACAGCTCCAAACTATTCTGGCAGAGATGGAGGAAAAGTAAGTTATAGGGGATTGTGTTTGTTATATTCTTTTGATTAACTTCCTCTGCATGCAAAAGTTTTTTGTGTGATTCAATTGATATGAAAATGATGTTATTGCAGGAAGCAAGTGCTTCAAACAGGGTGTGATGATCAGTCGCTGCGTCTGTCTGACCTCCAACAGCAATACGAATTTAAATGCAATGAGATTGAGGTGTGTACAGTATCTGATGATTTGATAATTTGGTTTGATCACTTGAGATGTAAACAATTTAAACTAAATGGTCTGCTGGAACTTTTTCTTGGCAGGTGTTGAAGGATTGCTTCAAGCAAATCAAATTACAGGATGGTGAGGAAGAACCAGGTAAGTTTTACCTAAATATGTTGTCATCAAAATGTAATTGAAATTTGGAAATTTTTTTTGATGTTGCATAATAATAATGTAATATGGATTCACTTTTGTGTTTTGGTCGATAATGTTATGTGGGAAGTTGTACTTTTAGTTGTTAAATAAATCATATATGTCTTTATTTTTTTTTCTTTTAACAGATGAAGAGGAAATGACTGAAAGGCTACAAAACCTATTGAAAGTTCACGAGGTAAGAAACAGTTGCATTTTCCTTTATTTAACTTATCAGTGCACTACAATACTTGTGATGAAACCAGATGAGTGAACCATAAAACCCAGTAGGAAGAAGTGATAGATTGTCATCTGTTTCAGGAATATCTGAAGACAAACAAACTAAGATTTTATAAATATATGCCATGAGGTTCTTAACCCTTCAAACCCCTGAGAGTGACTAGCATCTAATTTCTCCATTCAATATCACCCCTGAGTCACACATTAAGGTCAGGAGAATAAAAGAAATGGGATCTGATCATCATCTTGAGAAGCTCTTGATTGTTAAACAAATCCTCCTTGTCGCCATCTCAGTGGGGAGAATATGCATACTGATGTTAGGGTGTGAAGGGTTAAAGGCTCATTCAAACAGAGGGAGAGCTTACGAAAGGCTAAACCTGGAAGTGATTCGGATTTGTTTCGAGCTGAATTTGAAACTTTGGATTTGGGCTATTGCAACCCATTCTTGTTTTCTCTGATTCGCAGGTGACGGAAAAGAATGACAAATTGCAAGAGAAAGTCGAGGAACTGGAGGCAGAAGCTGAAAAGCTAAGAAGGACGAACAAGATGTTTGAAGGTAAGGAATTCAGGATCGTAGCATATTTTTGAGACAGTGTTTGATGATAACATATCTAATGGTTGCCTGTGGTCCACCTCACTCCAAACAAGTCATGTTAACATTTCAAAACTATTCGTAACGAACATCTTAACGTGTGAACCAGAGCCTTTTGTATGATCATAACCTCACCTTTCTCAAGATTCCACGCTGCCGACTTTAGCGCCATACACTACCCAAGGTGTGAAAGAAATCAAAAATTTTAGGCTCGATCTAAACCAATTTCTTTATTTGTAGAGGACAATGTTGAGAAGACAGAACGAGCTGAGCTGGCCGAGAGTAAAGCTAGCCAGGCCTTGCTAATACAGCGAGAAAAGGAAATTGAACTGGAGGCACTGCAGAAGTATTTCAAATCAAGTGAAGTGGAATTACACCGGTAAGAGATTGTGCCTCACGGCCGTGGATCTTGCTACCAACTTTAAGACTTCAGAATAATACGAGGTGTAGCCATCGAAGCTACGTAGGATTTTCGAAGGTTTTGTTGCATCTGGGTGGTGCGAAAAGTTAACATTTTAATGTCGGACTGTTTCCTTTGTAGAAAAATTACAGCTGAGGAATCAACCCGAATTTCTATCGAGAATCAGCTGCATTCAGAACAGGCCAAGGCTTCCTCTGCTGTGGTAGATGCGGATAAGTACAGGTAAAGTATTAAGTCTGTTTCATGCCTGAATTATTGTCGAGGAACTAAGCTTAATCAGCTCTTTCTGTTACACGTGTGTGGATTTAAGTGCGTGAAGTTCTGAATTTAGATTAGTGACTTTTGTTCGCGTATCCTTTGCGGTAAGCATCAGTCTCAAATGTACTTTTTATATCCGCTCTTAGGCAGCTTTATCTAGACATCAAGAAACAGATTGAAGAGATCGACGAGAGCAAGAAAGAGCAGGTTGGTCTATTAAATACTGAAGACAAATTTGCAGCCATGTTTTGTCTCGTCACGAAAGACAATGTACCTCGAGATGGGTTGGGAGAAAGGAGGGAGGGACGATACCAGGCAATGGCTGCAAAGGACTACGAGAGATTCGTCAGAAACATTCGAATTCTGCCATTCTGATTAAGAAGCCTTTCATTCTTTTAACTCTGTTGTGTTTTCATTCTATTCGTAGTTGTCAAACATCGAGAAGAAAGCTCATCAAAACTGGGTAAGTTTTTGATGATGTGATTATTTATTCCCTTTTGGAATTGTAGGCTTGGTTTTAGGAAGACAACCGCTAAGTTGGAATCGGAGCTTATTTGGAAATGGGTGTCTTTTAATGTCTCCATTACTTTCTATATTTCAGCTTGATTACAGAGCTGCTGTACGAGAAGTCGACGGACTCAAAGACGAGAATGAAATCCTCAGAAGGAAGTAAGCTGATAAAGTTTTTGTTAATTAAATAACATGCCATCGCATCAACCTATTTTTTGTGGAGTAAAGTTATTAGGTAATTGCCTTTTAGGTAGAGTTGGTTCAGTTATATTTTTCACCATCCCCTCGCTTTGGTCAGATCCGCTATTTTCTGTTACAAGAGTCCATGCTTGAATTGAGCCAGTTTTCTTCAGTTTGAATATGAATAATTTATTGTTGTTTTTACTTTTCATAAGGAAGCCTTGTAAATTAAATGTTTTATTTGACTTCTAGACTGTATGACTTAGAGGTCAGAGGAAGCCGTCCAAGTTCTTCAGCGAGCAAAGGTAGGGTTAGGAAGCTGTCAAGGATATCGCTATTCTTCCTCCCCCCCCCCCCCCCCCCCCCACTCGCACTCACTGGAATACCAGTCCATCGCACGGCTACCCCCCTCCCCCCGGGTCAGTAGCCAGGTATGCCAGACAGTTGCTGGTAGCCATGACGACTCTGAGCGGTGAGAGGTTTCGTGGAAGTAGAAGTACAACACAGTTAAAACTCGAACCCAGACCACCAATCCACAGCGTCTCCACTCAGCGTGAATTCAGCATGATTAACTGTGAGAAAATAGTGTTTCTATCAAGTGTCGAAGTAATCCAGGATCGCTTTGCATTACTTTGCGGTATTATTGGTCCAGAAAACTCGCGCCCCTTTGTCAACCAATCAAATTCACAACTGAAATCGATTACGATTTGTCACTCGCGTTTTCCTGCGCTTCAAGCAGTTTGTGTTTTTACTTAGCGTTTTCTTTGGTCCCTTGGGATATTTTCCTTTCCCCTGATTGGCTGCTGTGATCACTTTTGTGTTGGTTTGACGTCACTTAATCGAAATGCACTCTAATCTTCCGAAAGAAGTCGATTTAATTGTGAAATACTCAGTGTTGACATTAAGAGGGCGATAGTCATCAAGTTGTTTTATATTCACGTATGGGACTCTCATCTTAAAATTGAAAGTTGAAAATATAATAGTGTAAGATTGATTCTCATGGTGAAACATTTTTTTGTTATTTTTCAGTTGATGGTCGAGATTCTCCTGCAACAATGAGGTAAAACCATGTTTTCCTTCTTCTAGTTAATTTGCATTTGTACCTAAAGTAGCAACAAATATTTGATAAGTTCATATTTACATTAGAACGCTAAAACTATTGTTCCATTTTATTAAACTTCCCACTTACATCGGTCGTTGCACGATTCCTTGCTAACATAAGATATATATCTTTTCAATCCACAGTCCCATGCCTGGGGTTCCTAGTCATGGTAGCCCAGTTCCATTTGGTGCACCTGCAATGATGGGTAAGTTGGCTTTCTTCGTAACCCACCTTCCCTCCCTTAGAGGAACCATTCACTTATAAATTCTCCCCCGTGCCTTATCGGTAGTTCCCAAACCCTGGTAAGTGAGTTATAAGGAATCATTAAAAATAGTAATCACAGAAAAATAAGCCCTCACTCCTCGCATTTCTTGTCCTCACCCTACCATCAAATAAAATCTTTGCACTCACTAACCCAGTTCCTTGACCATCTCTCTTCTTCACTGCCCGAAATTCTTCAAGAGATTTGCGTTCCCATGCATCCAACTGATCCTTACTATTCCTGTGTTTTTTAGGACCTCTCCCGCCTCCTTCATCCATGTTTCCGGGCCAACGAAGACCGCATCCCGCAGATTTCCTTGGGATGACGCCTCCTCGACAACCCTTCCCTCCTCCAGGCCCTGCAACAAAAGGCCATGCCACGCCTCCTCCCACAACAGTTGCTTCCTCTGCTCAGGTATGATATATGTGGCTGGTTGGTTCTTATACCTTATTCATTAACTTGTTATTCAGTTTCAAATCGAGTACACAACTGTGATAAGAATCCGTCGCAACGCTGTGAATGTAAAAACTTCTGGATCAGAGTGAATTAGCTGACAAAAGTCTTGGTTTCATAAAAGATCGAATGGACGGTTCCTCTGATTGGCATAGTCTCTAGAAGATGAGTTACTGATTTGGAATACGTATCCCTCAATCGTCGCGTGCTATTATGACAAGAGCTAATACAACGCGGTTGAATGACGTTGCAGTCTCAAGAAAAGTGTGAATTCGTCGAAGAAACCTTCATTAGTCCAATCTCAAAATTGAGCTAGAAATCTTTTCCCTCTTATTTAGCTCAAGAAATATTTTTTGGTTATGTTTGCAGTCCTCTCAAAAACCCATCGATAGCGTAGATTCCTTTGGCCATGACAATACGGATGGATCATCTCACCCTCCTCTTCCCCCTGGCCCCATGGCTGGGTTTGGCCCTCCTCCTTCAATCCCTCCGATGATGCGAATGCCAAGATTTCCACCTCCTCCCATGATGCATCCTTCGCCAAATGGACCTCGTAAGTACTTTAAATACAACTTTTAGTGATGTGATGATCCAATGTAAATGTAATATTCCTTACTAGAGCAGGTTTGCCGTCCAACCTCCTCTTTCTTCCCCCCCCCCCCCGTGAGCTTTTAAGAGAAATCGTGTCAGCGGTCTTGCAAGATGATAGTGTCTTTATTTTGTTGTGAATTCCTTTCGTCACGTGCAAGTCTTTGACTGACAAAACTTTTTTGAATGCAATTGTTTCTTATCCTCTGACCTCAAACGGCGGCTTGCTAGGGAATATGGCAGATTCGAGCCTATCGTCATCCAGCTCTATTTTTTTTTTTTTAAATTCTGGACAAGGATTGGAGGCCATTGCTCCTGATAAAAATCCTTTCCGTGTCTTAAATTGGCTGTTTAGTATTCGCGCGCAATCTACGATAAGTAACGTCATTAATTCCCAGTCTTTGATGTCAAGTGAGTTCCGTTTATCATAGTTCAATTGACTTCAGTCGTTGAGATACCTTTTACACCTCACTAATGTTACGGTGTGTTTTTCTCTCTCCAGTGCCTCCTCCAATGTTCTTGCCTCGACCTGGTGGACCTATGCCTCCTCCTCCACAAGGCACCAGGCCTCAAGCAAGCTCTACTCCTAGCCGTTCATGATTTCTGACTACCAAAAATTACTCTTTGAATCAATATTTTTTCTTTTTTACATTAAGTGTTCACATCTGTGGGAAACTAATATTTCAATGAGCACTATAACCAGTCAACTTCTCTGACAGAATGAAAATTGAAAATTGGCTTCAAGAAAATTTCAAAGAGTATGACAGATTATTTATAAAGTAAATTTTAATGTTTTCCAGAGATGTCGGATTCTGAACCCGAAATAAAGAAAGTACTCTATCGTTTGAATTGTGCTTTTTTTTCCTGTGGTTCTCTGGGAGTGTTATTTGGGCTGTAGCGTTTTAGTGTTAAATAAACAAAGGAGTGTAGTCTGGCCCTTTGACCTGCTTAGAGTGACCAGCGTAAACAAATTCTCCTTATTCTCCTTAGGAATGTAACAAGAACAGTGTTGAGAATATGCAAACTGATGTTACGGTGTAAAAGGATGAAATAGATATGCAGAAGTAACTTGAACATGCCACGCCTTGAAGTTTTAAGACCAAACTTTAATATGAATGAGGAGTGTGAACGTCTCGTACGCAAACAAAGTCGAGTAACAATAACCAACGATCAGTTTCTCATTATTTGGGCTTCGGCATCCAAAATCGGACCCATATAGTGTCCAAAAATCCACACTAGTGTCTAGATTCCAAAATTGGACACCACTGTCCAAAATCCAAAATTGGACACTAGTGTCTAAATTCCAAAATTAAACACTGTTGTCCAAAATCCAAAATCAGACGCTAATCGTGTCGTGTACAAATATATTTTTTTCTCATTGCAGAGTCTCAGTTATTCAGTTTCATATTTTAACACTAATAACAACGTGTTTGACATCATAAAAACATCGTCTCTGCCCTTTGCAGTGTCTGGCGAATTAAGAATTTCAATATTTCATTGAATTGTTTCGTTGCAAGTTTCGTCCTTTTTTGGAGAAGGATTAAAAATTTACAAATGTTATAAAAGCATTCTTAAAAATACTTCATTGTGAGTCACTTGCTACGAAAATTAAGGTCATCCTTACACTGAGCACCATCTCCATGAATTCCCATCTTTTTCCTCGAAGAACTGATGTATTAAATTTTCAACGCTCGGCTTTCAAAAACCCTCGACAAACCCAATTTACACTTTCGAGCCCAGACGCGCAAATACGGATTTTCCTGCATCTTCATCAGAAGTGAGACCCGTGGATCTTTTAACCGGTTTAACAGGTTTAACTGGCTTGGCTGGAACACCTTTGCGTTTAACCGGTTTCAACACACTGTGACTCGTGTAGTCTATATCTTCTGGGTAGTCGTCGTTGGAAGGGGGACGAATTCTAGGATTTACTGCTTGAACCGTTGCTGTCGCTGTGGCTGGGGGTGAGGCCAGGCCACCGAGACGACTGAAAACAGACCCCTGAGGTTTTTCCTGAATTAGAGAAAAGATAAAAAGTATTTAATATGCAATGGTTCGAACCAGAGCAACAGTTGACCAAGTAGTCTGATCGTCCGAGTGGAATTCATCCTGAAAAAGACTGCTGTCTGTAGGAGTGACTGACGTTTCCACAACCTTGGCAGAAGTCATTATCAGCGTCAAATGAGGCTTTTTTTTTTCTTTGTGAGAATAATATTGAAGTATTGATCTTGAAAAATGATTGGTCAGTTCTATATTGTTATTAGGAATAAGAAATTTAAGCGTGGAGAGAATTGAACACGAAACAGTCAAGTCCGAGAGAAGTGAACGCCATTTCGTAATCTTTTCACGCAGCGTTACTTCAAATGACCAAGAATCAAATTGCCTGTAAAATAATTCTCTGTACAGAAGGGAGAAGGAGTACTCGAGTCTTGTCCTCAGATTTTGGTTTTCAAACTATCAGGTAGTACAATATCTTTGTTCCGCGAGGTCTCTGCTCAAGTTAGCGATCAATCGATGAATAAAACTTGATACAATAATCCGAAGCGAGAGAGCCGGTTTGTTGGTAAAAAAGCAAAGTAGCTCTGATACCTTTAACTGAACTGTGATGCTTGTTTTCAGGGGTTTCAGGGCTTTAACCTCAGTCTTCTGCTCCGGTTCCTTGACGGCCACCTCTAAAGGAGGACTTTCTTTACCCAAGCGATCAAATACAGACTGCCTCTTGATCACCTTGGCTTTATTAACTGCAATGGAACGATCGAGGAATTAAATTACATGCTACCGTTGTTCAAAATGCTGCTCACGATAATTCGAAATTATCTTCCAAACAGGCTCTTATAATTAGTGCTGCAGAACACGCGTTTCCTTTCCCGCGGGAAGAGGTAAGACATTTCGGAAAGGTCTACCGGAGGTCTGGCAGTGCTAAACTCCTCGCATACCTCTCTCCAGCTCGCGTTCATTGGTAGGAACGCGTCTCCAGAAAGACGTCTATGATGTTCTTTGGCCATTCCCCCCCCCCCCTGCCGATAGTGTTAATTGCCAATGTTCTTACGCTATCTTTCAGACTACCATTGCGAGGGACAAGGAGGGGGGGGGTCGGGTCAGTAGGTGTCCCAACAAATGTGCCCGAGAGTGTAGTGCGTTAGTTATCCGATGTGTGCACGAGCTGTTTGTAGCTCAATTGGTAATACATTCCGTGGGGTAATCCGGCGGAATAAGTTGGAGTGCGAATTGTACCGGAGACATGTGATATGTTTTCCTGCTTGCACGCTCGTTCAATATCTTTTTTAGGATTAAAATCATTTAAGTTTACCTGCGGCCGAAGCTGCAGCTTGTTTCTGCTTCGAAATAAGCTTCTTACTCCGCTCAGTGGATCCCTGAGGCAGCTTAACCTTTAATGTGTGTTCATCTTCAACTTTGGGTGGATTTACTGCCGCTGTTTTAGGTTTACTTGTGACATGGACTTTGACTCCGCGACCACCGAACCTGGGCCAACAAAACAAGGTCTAAAATCAGCTTTATTTTAAACCAATTACTTGACTTGAACACCACAAGACATCAAATATGAAATGAGGCAGTTGTTCCACTTGTGACGTTATCACTTGTCAACAAACATTTGCCTCCGCCAAGCTCTCAGTGAATGGAGACGAGTGAAAGAACGGGCAGGCGGCAAAAAGCGGTAGAGGATGTCGTTGTAAGGGCGGTAAGGTTTTTCAATTAAATTTTATTAGTTTGCCCACCCTCCGTTTCCTCTCGCTTTCATTCAGAGCTTGGTATAGGCTAGTCAAGAATGGGATCTTCTCCAAAAACATGAAATCCTTTGAGCTCGGAAAACTTAAATTTCAAATTAAAATTTGGAGGAAAAATTCTCACATCCATATCTTGCTACTCATTGTTAAGAATTTTCAATGACAACTATTCCAGGTTTTTTAGATACTTATGCACTACATGCAGGAAAAAACTTTGACAGCAAAAATGTAAGGTCTGAGGAAAAAGTGAACAAACAAAGTACGATATAACTAACTTTTTTCCAACATCACGGTTCTGCGCCATTAAGTCGGCAACACAAGTATATCAGTTCAAAGTGTTTCTAAACTGTAGTGAGACACAGCATTACGATTGCCCTAAGTTTTTGTTGGTTTTCGGAAATCATGGAAAATATGATGCATACCTTTCTGATAAAGTTTTCTGGCCACCAGTTGCCTGAGGTTTCTCCTGTGACATGGCTGCTTCAATTTTGAGATTTTTCTTTGGTGGTGCTGGTGATTGAGACGGTGATGGTTGTGGATCACGTACAGGACTACTGGTGCCACTTTGTGCCTTCTGATTGTTTATCCAATGATCTACCATTCGACTTGCAGCTACATGTACACAACAACAACAAGAACAACAACAACAAAACATGATGTGGTTCAATTTTATCTTTAGTTCAAAGTTTAACCTCTTTTGTCACAAATGTTACAAATTAACAAGCCAAAAAACGAGATAACAGTAATGTTATGCAAGGATAAAATAAAAAAAAGAGAATTCCCAGACTTTAAATTCATATTAATCATCCCTCTAATCATCAACATGCCATTTCTCCCCACAATATTACTACAGAATCATATGTTAAGGTAATAAGAATAAAGAAATTGATCACCAAGTTAACAAGCTTATTTGTCCATAAGTTCTCCTTGTCAGTACCAAAGGAAATGTAAAGAAAACAGTAAGGAGAATATGCATACCAATATTGAGATGCAAAGGGTTAACCCTTCTTTACCAATAACTGATCATTTAATACATTCTCCCTACAATTTCAAAACACTGTCAAGCAGACAGGCAGTGAGATATACGAGATTGTTAACATGATTGGGATATTTTATGATACAACTTCAAATTCTCATGACCAGGCAAAAAGGAAAGGTAAGGTAACTAGATGGAAGAATTAGAATTCTGATCAAGGGAGTGAAAGTTATAATTGTTCTACTATGGAAAATTAAGCTTAAAATTTTACATTTGTTGTTTCCAGCGGTTTAATCATCTTAATCAAAGAATGCACTGATTCCTTTAATTTTCTCCTTTCCATTTTAATGTTTTCCTATCTCACCAAAAGCAGTTTTTGCTGTTTCCTTTGGGCTAAAAGCAGGCTATTCAAAAGTCAAAAGTTAGCATCCACTACACTTAATTTATATGCTGTTCCTAGCTGTGTTGTACCTGTTGACTTGCGTTTTACACCAATGGCAGTTTGATTTCCAGGAGAAGAAGACTCAGATGAGTCTATGACAGCCAATTCTTTTGCTGACTTCTCTCGCTCAGTCTGCAAATAAACAAATGACTCAGTGCACTTCTTTAATTACATTTGTTAAGAAGCTGAGTGGGGATCAAAAAGAAGGAGAGCAAAATACTTTAAATTCATAATTCTGTAAAATTTTGGGTGGTATTTAATGATGAAAACTGTTTATGAAACCAATACAAACAAAAACAGCCACAAAGACAGCCAAGGAAATAAATAAAAGGGCAGTTCCCATTACTGTAAAACCCAAACGGATACAAAAAATATATTTAGAATGAATGGGGGACTGAATGGACACTTTATCCATTCAAGCAAACCATTAAAACTTTACTATAACCTTTAACTCTCAAGATCAGATTGTTAATTCTCCCCTCTAGTTGATACACATTTCCATGTATGTTAGTTACAAGAATTTGGTATTAGATCAAGATGACAACTTCTACTTGATAGGTTTGAGTATTCTCATTAACAATTTGCTGGATAATGTATGGATATTAGAAGGGGAGATTGCATGTTAATCACCTCTGAGAGTAAAAAGAGTTAAACCATTAAAAATAAAAATTCATACCTGAGCATGAACTTCTTTACCATGTCTCAGAATAGCAATGATATCACCCATCACTGTGATTCCCATGTCTCTTAAAATTTCCTGGAAAACCAAGAAATTATGTGACTGAGTAATGATAACATATCAAAGTATTTGCTGTGCAGGGTAATCCTACATGTATATTTAAACAGTAATGACTAAGAGATAACATTGACCAAAGAAAACTCTGTTATGTTGATTTTAAAACCGTGGGCAATGTTTTTATTTTTTTATTTTTTTTATATTAAACCAACATATTCTAACCTTTGTCAAATCTGACAGCATATCCTCTTGTATTCTGTGATCATAAAATATCACAGCATAGCTATGGAAAAGAATTGTGAAACAGAAAATATCAGCAGAGGTCTATTAACAGATATCACAAGTGTACTGGGATGAAATAGTAATTTTTGTTTGCCTTCAGCTTTGGCTGGACAGAGTTTACCAATCATAAGATGTAGTCAAGTCATTAACCCTTCCACTCCCAAGATCGTATTAGTAATTCTCATTACTGTCTGTTATACAAATCTTGTAATATTAGTTTGGAAGATTTGGTATTGGATCAACTAATAATCCCCTAATCGATATTTTCTTTATTCTCCTCACTTGTCTGCTTGAAATTGTTTTGATATTGTATTGATATTGTAAGGAGAAATTCTGTCCTAATCACACATTGGATAGCAGAGTGAGAAAGTTAGGAAAAAGATGCTCACATTTGCTCTTAAAAAAACCCCTTACAAAAAAGATACACAAAAATATTTTTGAGTTGTAAAATAATTCATAAAATGTAAAAATTTGTCATGGCATATTTTTGAAAGACATAGGAAATGTCAGTTTGTATTTTGCATTGAATTCAATGACAAAATGATTTGTATTCCACTTTGGGACAATTTATCACAAAAAATTGTGCATAACCTTGAGATAAAGTAAGGGAAATTCAAAACTAGCTTAGAATAATTTGATTTGAGAGTAATTACCCTTTGAGGTTAACATTTGATTGACAGGCCAGTATGAGTGTTTAGATACCATTTTGAGGTTCATTTTCGTTCACACAACCAAAAAAGAGGGCTGACGGCCCTCTGCTTATTTACAAATGTTTTCAACGCAAATTTAACAGTGAGCTTTGCCAATGGTTTACAGCTCAACAATATTGTTTACACATCGAGATCGAGACAATAGAAAGCTTATTCCATGTCTACCTGACTCACAACTTGATTACGACCGGATTTCAGTCTAGGAGAATAACTACGACGTAATCAAAAGTCACACCAGGAACTTGTCATTTACAAAGAGAGGTTTCAAAAAAATAACCTCGTCATTTCCTGTCTAACAAAACTTCTGGGAAGTACACTTACTTTTGTGCTGGTCCGCTTGGTATGCCGGCATTCGCAAAAAACTTCGTCCATTTTGAGACTACAATGATGATTAAAATACACGTGATGAGCTAAGAACTAGAATTGGTTATAAAAACTACTCTATCTGTTTCTTTGCTAGTCGCATCGTACCTTGAATACTCATTTCTCGCAGTCGTTTAAAGCGATTGAAGATTCCAAGACTTTGTAGAGAATAAACTATTTTCTGGAAGCTAACGGGGAAATCGCCAGGAATGATGGGAAATAAGTACTCACTGTAACGTCATGTACGCTTCATTAAAGTGACTTGGGAAACCACCACTATCCACACTTATCTCGGTAGACGAAAATTTGTCATGGAAACCTCACATTACTAATATCGCTAGGGAAGTTCCAAAATCCATGTAATATAAAGCTAGACTCTGCCTGCCTACTTCAACTTTATGTACCGTGCACTACAGACTTGTTTATCGCATTATCGATATCGATATCGATATCGGTTCCACTTATCCATCCACATAGATCTATGTAGATGGATAAGTGGAACCCTATACGATAACGCGATAAACAAGTCTGTAGTATAGAAACGTATTGTCCTAAAATAGATGGTAGGAATTATATCAAGAGGTAATTTTAACACTTAAGCTGAACCTGTACTTAAGCAACTGAAAATTCTTAATCTATGCAATATATATTGATTTCAAATAGGGAAGATTATATTTTTGTCCGAGAGAGGCTGTCTTCTTGATTGAGAGATTATTCGCGTTTTCGAGAAGCATTCATGGCTATTACACCAGACAATTTAACTCCTTTTACATACCCTCTTGTAGAACGAAATATAGAAATCCAAAATGTTAATACACTTTTCCTATGTAAGTGTAAATTGCGAACACCATTCTCAAGATCACTCCCTTTTTGTTTTGTTTTTTCCTTATTTTTCTTAAGCTGCTTAAGTATATGTTTGTTTTGGTGGCTACCACTGTTATTGTTGTTTTAGTTGTGTATCAGTTCTTTCCTTTTTAACTTAAGATATTTTGTACCTAAAGCGTTTTTTTTTTTCGTGTGTGTGTGTACCGCTCCTTCACTTAAACCACACACGCCGTCATTTCCATGTAAGCAAAGTGCATTAAATTCCGCACGCAGGGGCCGTGACTTCATCACGCAATGGGGACGAGTGAGGGAGTGCGGTGCGTGACGAGATTAAACAACGGCTGCGAAGGAGACCGCGGTAAGCGTGGCACAAATGCAGTTTATTTCTGCCTAAAACTGTGCAAACAATGACAATAGACCACAAAATACCTGTGTCTGAGCATATTTATACAAATTGCAAGGGTCTTTTTTACTGTCTACCAAACAAATTTTTGTTGGAAACTTTGAAAATTCAACGCTCTTTTTCTTTTACAAAATTGAAAAAAATCAGTCACTCAAAGTATCCCATTTCAATCCATCCATCCGAAAAAATAACTCTTGCATGCATAACATGGCTATTTTTCTCACATCTCGCGGGGCCAGATGGCTTTTTCAATCCCTGCACCCACCATTACGCGCGTACAGCCCTCATGCAGGGATTTCCCGTTGGTGCACGGGTCATAAATAAGTTATATATGAAAAAAAAGTTAGGCGCGTTACCTATGTATGA